AATGACTGAACCATCCAAACTTCCCTCTCTTCTTGTCGGACAGGTCGCCCAGAGACGGACCTGAGACACAGACAGGAAACAGAGAATAACATTCAGCGGACAGTGAAGACTCCTCTTCTGTCGACAGGTGAGCGATCAGTCTCTGACTCATCAGCAGGGAGGACGTCCACTGTCCAGCACCTGGGATCAAACTCTGCTCGTGTTCATCCACAAATCGTCTCAAAAAATCGATGTCGTCTTTGTTGTTTTAATGAGATGATTGATTCTTTTAATGTTTTTTATTTGAGTCATAATGATTTGCTAGAATAATTCAATAAGTTCATGATAAGATGAAAAACTAAATGAGTCTGATGTCTCTGCAGCTCGTTCTGCTCCATCGACTTCACTGACGAACTCATTGTCTCTAATTGGTTCATTAATCGATCCATTAACTTGATGTTATAATTAACTGAGGAAATGTCTGTGATTCACCACTGTTTTAAAATCAAACTGAAGCAACAAGCCAACAAGACGTACAACAGAAGAAACACAACCACACCGTCCCCGCCTTACGTGGGTTTCCGTCCTCGTCCAGTTCGTCCATGTCCTCAGCCTGAGTGATCCAGTCCATGTATCCACACAGATCCTCCTCCATCTGCTGCTTCTCACGCAGCTTCTGAAAATCCCCCCGAGCCTTCGCCTTCTCCCTCTCCTTACTGAACTCTCTGTAACGTTCACACATTCAAATGCCACTTGTACTTCACACAAACAGACCAGGGAGGTGCGTCTTCAGAGAATTAAAAGAAATATGAAGACGAACCCGCTGAGGACTCCCAGAACCAGGTTGAGAACGAAGAAAGAGCCGAAAATCACCAGACTGACAAAATACACCCATGGCAGCTCGAACCCGATGGCGTCATTCATCTTCACAGACGGACAGAAAAAGATGATGTCATGATTTCGTAGAGAAAGTGAGAACATGACGATGAGACGCAGGTTTGACTTATCTGTTTAAACAAATGTTTCAGTTAGTTTTACCCAGTACAGCACGTCGGTCCATCCCTCCATGGTGATGCACTGGAACACGGTCAGCATGGCAAAGAAGAAGTTGTCAAAGTTGGTGATTCCTCCGTTGGGACCGTCCCACCTCCCCCGACACTCTGTGCCATTAACTGCGCACTGACGACCGTGACCGGCAAACGCACACGGCACCGGGTCGTCCTCCACGTAATTATCTGGAAAATAATCAACCAACATTCACTCAGTTCTATCTGCACAGGTGTGAACTCAGTTGTGTGTGTGTGTGTGTGTGTGT